CCACACGGCCGCGGCCGTTTACTGGTGGCGTGCCGTGGAGCCGCGGCCCGCGCGCCGATCGACCCACTTCGCCCCGCATCCTGAAAAATGCAGACGGATTCCGAGAGTCGTTTTCGTCGCTCTGTCTCTCTCGCACTCCTGGGGCGTCCCGTGCAGGTGCGAGAGGGACAGAGCGACGGGAACGGCTCTCCTAGGCGGACACGCGACGGGGCCTTAGCCGGCCTTAGCGCCAGGGCAGGGCGCCCCGCGTTGCTCGCCGAGGTGCATCCCCCTACACTGCACTTGTGAAGCCTTATTCCGAAAAGCGAGCAGTTTCGTCGCTCTGTCTCTCTCGAACTCATGGGGCATCCCGTCCGGGTGCGAGAGAGACAGCGACGAAAACGACTCTGCTGCTGGCGATCCATCAGCACCACTGGCCGTGCGTGCGGGCGGGCTCACGGTTTGGAACTCGTGGGAGCAGCGCGGTCCGCGCCGAGTCGGTTTCCTTCGAGTTTCCTCCTTTTATTAACTTTGTCTGTTTTCGGCTGCTTCTTCTGTCCCTAATACTTTCATCCAATATCTCGGGTCGCGGCGGCGGGGCGGGCAGATGCTGCGCGCCGCTCGGCTCATTTGCGCTTCGCGAAAATTAAATTTGCAGCGCCCGGCGGACTGATTCCGAGAGTCGTTTTCGTCGCTCTGTCTCTCTCGCACCCCTATGAGACGCCCCATGAGTGCGGGAGAGACAGAGCGACGAAAACGACTCTCGGAATCAGTCCGCCGCGGCCCGGCCCTGCTCCGTGGTAATAACGTGGTGGTGGCGACAGCGCGCGCCGAAAGTGCAAAAGGCGAAAAAAGGGGAAGACACTGTAAGAGACCGACGGCTAGTCCGTTTGCGAGGGCCGCACCGTGCGCCGCGCTGCCGATTTTTGCTGAGCTGTTCGAAAACGAAACCAGCGTTGCTGGTGTTTCGACCGTGACCAGTCCAGACTGCACGCCGCCACCAGTGTCTTCGTCGTGTCTGCGTCGACGGGCTGCTCTGCGGACGGATTCCGAGAGTCGTTTTCGGCGCTCTGTCTCTCTCGCACTCATGGGGCGTCCCGGAAGTTTTGTGAGAGAGAGACAGGGCGTCGGAACGGAGTGTTATGCGGAATTATCTTAGCAGTGCACAGTGGGCCAGAAGACTGGTGGAGGCGTTCAAAACTCTCGACGCGTTTTAAGCTCCGGAGTCGCTAAACAGAACTCCAACCGAACGTGTGACCCCACCAATGGATTGCCCGAACGAGGTATCCATTGGTGGGGTCACACGTTCGGTTCGAGTCCTGTTCAGCGACTCTGGAGCTCAAAACGCGTCTAGAGTTTTGGCCGCCTCCTCCTGTCTTCTGGCCCACTGTGCACAGTGCTCTCCTTTCGGATGCACGGCGCCCCTGGCTGCCCGAACCCTCTCGGCCTGGTGTGATTGGACCCGGTCCGTGATTGGACCCAGCCACCGTCATTTTTACCACTTTGGCCGCCACCCGCCTCATCTCGGCGAGGGCCTCGGCGACCTTCACCAAGAGGGCGTCGGCCTTGCGGGGCAGCGGCAGCAGCATCCAGAGTTGATTCTTCGCTCTGCCTCTGTCGCACTCACTTGGTTCTCCGGAGGAGTGCGAGAGAGACGGAGCCACGAAGCGATTCCCTTCGAAATCGCTCGGCAGGGGAGAAGGTTCACGGAATGGAAAACAGTGCGCTGTCAGGGAAGCAGCAGACTGATTCCAAACCAGCCACGCTTCATCGCGCCGCCCCTTTCATACTTACGAGTGCGAGAGGGACAGGTGGTGGACGGGGGAAGCTCTGTTCGGAGCCAGCCTGCAGCCGTCTGATTCCGAGCACTGCTTTCGTCGCTCTGTCTCTCTCGCACTCATGGGGCGGTCCGCAGGGGTGCGAGAGAGACAGAGCGACGAAGCAGTGTTCGGAATCAGACGGCAGGCAGCGCTGACAGGGCGCGTCGCTGTGTTGCTCTGGAATTAGCCACTCGCTGCGAGTCGGGCCCATCTTCCGGGCCACCCTCCCCTGCAGACTGATTCCGAGAGTCGTTTTCGTCGCTCTGTCTCTCTCGCACCCACGAGTGCGCGACAAAGACAGAGCGACGAAAACGACTCTCGGAATCAGCCTGCGTCCTGTCCGGGGCACCGGAGCTGCTCGAACCCCGGCGGGCTGGCAGGGCGCTTCGGGGAACTAACTGCTGCTTCTTCCGGCGAGGCGCGTCCATTTCCGCCCCCCTCCCCTGTACCCGCACCTGCCCCCCCCCCCCCCCGGCCCGGAGGCGGTGCTTTCGCCGATTCGCCGCAATATCCGCCGAGTTTGTGTTCCATGGCGTCGTCGCCCGATTCCAGCAGGACATTTGTTTGGCTGTTTCTCGCTCTATCGCCCCGCACCCGTCCCCCCCCCCCCCTGTCCCCCCTCGGGGTGAGGAGAAGGGGGGGGGCGTTATCAGGCGATTCGGCCAATTGTCCGGGACGCGGCGTTTAGCGGCGCAGCGGTAGTGACTGCAGCGCTCTGCTCTTCCTTTGCACATTCGCCAATTTGCCGCGCCAATGAGTTTATCGGCTTTTCGCCCGCCAGAGGGTTGCGTCGGGTCGGCGGAGCACGGCGGGGCCTCTGGAGCCCTCTGGAGCTGGAAGCGGCTGGAGCAGGAAAGGCGTGGCTCAGCACGGTGCTCACCTGGAGGCACGGGGGCGCGATGGGAACAGGCGCGCGTTTCCAGGAGAAGGGGGAGAGGGGGAGGGTCATGACCTTTGCTTATAAGCATCTGTTGGGTTGGCAATTTGTGTTGTCAGTTCTGTAAAAGCCTGAGAAATACAGTGCCCTGGGCTTTGTGCGAGCATTGTGTACGTTCTGCCTCTCTCGCACCCCTCACGATGCCAGCCGTGAGTGCGAGAGAGACAAGGCGAAGGCGGTGTGACGAGGCACGCTCGCGCTCTTTTACTCCAGACCCAGATCGATCCACTGCAATTTGGCAGTGTCGCCCCGATGGCGCTTGGCGTGCTTGGCGTGGCGCGGGGCCGCGGTGGCTTGGCGGTGTCCTGCCGGTGGCCTAGTGCCCTGCCCTGGTTCCGTGTGGGCCGTTGCCACCGGGCCGTGCCACCGAGCCCCGCCCGGGCTCGTCCGCTTTCATAGTTTTCTGGGGGTCAAGTTTGCCCAGCTTGCGGCTCCGAGGTTGGTTGGCTGCCCAGCCTGGCCTCCTGTCTGCCTGCTCGGGCTGGGCGCCCCACTTTGCATGACACTCTGGGGCCCCTCCGCAAACACGGCTCATGATTGCGACCGCGGAATCTCTCACCTCACCTGACATTGACGCGCACTTTGAGGTCCCCGTCAAGGACGCCGTCGTCGACCTCGGCGGTTGGCGCCGTGGTCCTGTGCTCGTGGACGCCGTGCTCGGTCGACGCCGTGCTCGGTCGACGCCGTGCTCGGTCGACGCCGTGCTCGGTCGACGCCGTGCTCGGTCGACGCCGTGCTCGGTCGACGCCGTGCTCGGTCGATGCCGTGCTCGGTCGACGCCGTGCTCGGTCGACGCCGTGCTCGGTCGACGCCGTGCTCGGTCGACGCCGTGCTCGGTCGACGCCGTGCTCACGAAGTCCTCGTCACCACCCTCTCTAACGGCGCCCCTTTCTCTCTCTGTTGCAGACTCGTTCGTCAACAGCCAGGAGTGGACGCTGTCGCGCAGCGTGCCGGACCTGCGGCTCGGCATCGTGGGCTCGCTGTCGTCCGGCAAGTCGGCCCTGGTGCACCGCTACCTCACCGGCTCCTACATGCAGGAGGAGTCCCCCGAGGGCGGCCGCTTCAAGAAGGAGATCCTCGTGGACGGCACGTCGTACCTGCTGCTCATCAGGGACGAGGGCGGCGCCCCGGAGATGCAGGTGGGTGACGGTGACAATGCCCTGCACTGTGAATGGCAGCGCGACTCTGTGTGTGTGTGTGTGTGTGTGTGTGTGTGTGTGTGTGTGTGTGTGTGTGTGTGTGTGTGTGTGTGTGTGTACGTGCGTGAGGACACAGGCTCGACACATATGTGGTGCGCCAGACGCGCTGCGCATGTGTGATAAGGCCGACTGACGGCCCGGCCCCGTGTTTCGCAGTGGCGTGGCTGCCGCTGCCGCGCATTCCGGTGACACGGTGCCGCCGGTTTAATATCGGAAGAGGAAGAGGAAGAGAGAGGTGCGGCAGGCACGTCGGGAACTCGGCGTTCACTCCGACGACGGGAACTCCCGGGGAACTCCGCGCGCCTCTGTCCCTTGCCTCCGCCTCGCTCTGCCTTGATCGGAACGTGACGCCAACGGCACCTCTCCCCGCCCCCTCCTCCCCCTCCCCTCCCCTCTTCCCCGCCCCCTCCCCTCTCCCCTTGTTGATAAGCGCGGCGCTATCACGGTGCAGGTGCCGCAGGTGCACGACGACGGCCTATGCCGCGCGCAGGCATAGATTCCGAAAAAAGTGTCGCCCGCTGTCTCTCTCGCACTAGAGAAGGGCTCCAAAGGTGTGGGAGAGAGACATAGCTCGCGACGTCGGTCGCCGTGGTGACTCAATCATCGCGCCGCGCGGCGGAGATTAGTTCGCTCCGCGTCATTATGAGGATGAGCTGTGTCCTGCCGGCCGATTAGCGGGAGCCGGTGGCGCTCGTCGCTCTGTCTCTCTCGCACGGCCTCGAGCGGACGGACTCGCCCCGTCACACAGTAGGCCAGAAGACCGGTGGAGGCGGGCAAAACTCTAAACGCGTTTTGGAGCTCCAGAGTCGCTAAACAGGACTCGAATTGAACCTGTGACCCCACCAATGGATTCCTCGTTCGGAGAGCAATCCATTGGTGGGGTCACACGTTCGGTGCGAGTCCCATTTAGCGACTCTGGAACTCAAAACGCGTCTAGAGTTTTGACCGCCTCCACCGGTCTTCTTGCCCACTGTGCGTCAGCGCGATAATTGCCGTGCAGCTCTTTTTCGACCGGATTGGGCCGCCAGGCCGCCACGCCACGACGCGAGCCGCCCTATCGTTGGTTCGTTATGTGTAACGAAACAGACTCGCTTTGGTTGGGCTGTACTGCACTGTACAGTACCATTCGGTGGCGCCGACACCAGCACACACATACACTCTCTCACACACCTGTTGTATTGTTCCGTCGCTCGCTGTGATTGGCGGGCGCGCTCTGGTTTGCTTTTGTTTACCGCCCTCGGGCTGTAAGCTCATTTTGCGTCAGCGTGTGTGTGTTTGTGTGTGTGTGTGTGTGAGAGAGAGAGAGAGAGAGAGAGAGAGAGAGAGAGAGAGAGAGAGAGAGAGAGAGAGAGAGAGTTAGGTGCGCATGCCCCACACTCCGCAGCCTCCGGACCCGGCACTGTAGTTGCTGTCCCCCTTCCCTCCGGTCGTGTCACACATCAAAGGGAAGGCAGATACGTATACTGCTGCGCTGCCGCCTGCAGGCCTGCAGCCCTCCTGCCTACTGTAACAGGGGCGTGCCTAGAGCCCGGAGGCAAAGCAGGGAAGGCCCCGGGGGTCCGGAGAGGGGGGGGAGGGGGGGGGGGCTACGGAAGTGAGTCGCCGGGCCGTTGAGATATGCGGGAGGCAGAAGGGCGAAGGGAGCCCCGGGTCCCCTCGAGGGTCCGGGTCCCCGTTCCCTTCCCGGCCGGAGGGTACCCCACCGCTGCCTGTCGCTACTGACTGATGGACACTGGCCGTCCGCGACCGTCCACGCCACGCCACGCCACGCCACGCCACAGCGCGGCCATGGGTACACAAAGGGGTTGGTTGCAACCCCAGACTTATGTAAGGGTCGATTTCCGCCACGATGAACCCGGAACACCTCACCCCCCCCTCCCCTTTCCTCGCCGCGCACCGCCTTGCTTGATGTGGCTTATTTGGCGCGCACCTGCCCCGTAAGACGGCGACACGACGCTAGTTGGGCGGGGCGGGGGGGGGCGGGGCGGGGTGGGGCGGGGCGGGGCGGAGCGGGGCGGGGCGGGGCGGTCTCTGTGACGTACATTAATTTTGCGCACCGACGAGTCACTCCCCCTTTCCCCTCCCTGCCCTGCCCCCGCTAACGCGTTATGAAAATATAAATTTGTTGACAGAGGGGCGGCGGGCGTGGGACGGCGGCGTAGGTGTAGGTGTGGGGGCTGGAGGCTGGAGGGGCCGCCGCGGAGGCTGCAGGCGGACCGACTCCGAGAGTCGTTTTCGTCGCTCTGTCTCTCTCGCACTCATGGGGCTTCCCCTACGGGTGCGAGAGAGACAGAGCGACGAAAACGACTCTCGGAATCAGGCTGCTGGAGCGCCGTTCGAGCGCCGCCGTGCGCGGCCTGCACATCCGAGCTGCCGCGCCGAAATTAGAGCGAATATGTATGAGGCAGCGCGCAGAAAGTGAAAAGGCACGGCACGGCACGGCACGGCGCACTCTGCAGGGTAATAGGAGACTTATGCCCCCGAGGCGTGCGTCGCGTCCGCGCGGCCCTTTCCCCCTCCCCCTCCCCTTCCCCCTCCCTCTCCCTTCCCCTCCCTCTTTTCCCTTTTCTGCACCGACGCGGCGTCGGCGTCGCCGTGCCCCCCGCGCGACAACGCCTTTACAGCGGCGCTGTGCTGCGCTGCCATTTCTTTGTGCGAAACTTGCGGCGACGAGACAGAAAAAAAAATGAGTAGAGCATGGAAAAAAGATGAAGAAAAAAGATGAAATAAGAAGAAAAAGGAGCCTTCTTTATAGTGTTGCTGTTTTCTTTTTTCTTTTCGCTGTAAAAAAAATTTTGCTAGGCGTTTTGTAGGCAAAGTTATTCAAGACAGGCGTTTCCTTCTTTCTGCGCTTATTATTTTGGCGTAAGTCCGAGCGCGTGGCGCGTGGCGCGGACCGGCTGTTGAATTATACGACGGCAGCGCTTTGACGAGAATTAATTTGTTCGAGTTCTTTTGAAGGGAGGGGGAGGCGTCTGCTGCTGTTGCTGCGCTTTTTGCAGTGCCGCGAGCGGATCGCGACGGCTCAACCCGGTCTTACAAAAACGCACCAACAACAACAACATCAATAATATCAACAAGAACAAAACGCCGCGCGACGACTTTCAATAAACTAACAAAGAGCATCGCTGCGGCGGCGCTGGCCGTCGCGACGCTCTCTGGCTTTCGTATCGATTCGCCGGCCGGCCGGCGCGCGTCGCCATGACGACGGCAGGCTGTGCCGCGTCTGTCCGTGCGTCTGTCTGTCTGTCTGTCCGCCTTTCTGTCCACCTTTCTGTCCGCCTGTCTGTCCACCTGTCTGTCCGCCTGTCTGTCTGTCTCCGGCTGTCTGTCCGCCTGTCTGTCTGTCCGGCTATCTGTCTGTCCGCCTGTCTGTCTGTCCGCCTGTCTGTCTGTCCGCCTGTCTGTCTGTCCGCCTGTCTGTCTGTCCGCCTGTCTGTCTGTCCGCCTGTCTGTCTGTCTGTCCGCCTTTCTGTCTGTCCGCCTGTCTGTCCGTCTGTCTGTCTGTCCGTCTGTCTGTCCTGTCCGTCTGTCTGTCCTGTCCGTCTGTCTGTCCGTCTGTCTGTCCGTCTGTCTGTCCGTCTGTCTGTCCGTCTGTCTGTCCGTCTGTCTATCCGTCTGTCTATCCGCCTATTCGTCCGCCTGTCCGTCTACGAGCATTGCCTCTCTGTGTCGGATTGTTGCCCGGTGGACGGACTGGCTAGCTGACAGACGCGTTTATAGAGACAGACTTTACGTTTTGAGAAGGGAAATCTCTGAGAATATCAGTTGAATTTCGGGCAAAAACTTCTGAATTTGACAAGAATTTCGACAAATTGTCACAAATTTCAGCAAATTTCAAATTTCTTGTGAATTTTGGTGTACGAATCAGGCTGGAGTTATTTTCCTTTCGCATTGAGCAGCTTTTCGGACGTCCTTGCTCAAAATGGGATTTGATAAATCGATGGTCGAAATAACTTCCGCCAATAAATTATTACCCGTTCGGGCGGCAGCTAAATCGATCTACTATTTCAGGACTGGACCGCAGAGCTCAAAACTATCGTGCTCTCGGTCACGTCCGATTAGAGTAGTCTCCTCCTGGACCACTGTGGGACGGGGGACCGGGCACTTTCGGCGCAGTCTGGTCGGCCCTCTCGGTCTCCGCTCTCTCTCTCTCTCCCTCTCGTTTCGCTCCCCGGCGTCGTCTCTCTCACTCTGTCATATTTTCCCCGCCACAGCGCAATTAATTTCTGCGAAAACGGTCTCATTAGATTGGAGGCTGATGGACTGATGGGGGGACGGCCCAGGTGAGGGGGGAGAGGGGAAGAGGAAAAAGTGGTTGGGGGAAAGAGGGGAGAAGGGCGTGAGTCGGGGGTGGGTGGGGGGGGGGGGGATAGAGTGAGTGTGCGGAGAGGCGTGTAACGAGCCATCGAACTGGCAGACTTCGCTTTATTTCGACCGCGTCGGTTTTTTTTCGGCGGTAAAGGGCGTTTCTCTACTCTCTAGCGTGGCTCGGTGGCTTGGACCTCTTGGACCACGCCGTCGATAAAGTGAGAAGTGCTCCAGGGGTCCCGTGCGTGTCCCTTCGTGTCTCCCCTCTCTTCTCCTCTCTTCTCTCTCTCTCTCTCTCTCCTCCCCTCTCTCTCCCCTCTCGAGTAGGGGAAGAGGTCCCCGCGAAGTGCTCTTTTTAAAAAATTGTTTTGACAAGGGAATTCCACAAAACCAACTATAAAATTTGTGAAAAAATGCAAGAACTAGTGTTGAGGATTATCTCAAGACAAAAATTTCAACGAAACCGTCGCGGATGGAGCGAAAACTCCTTTTTTCCTTTCCCCCAAACCCCGGCTGTGAACCACCATGGTTTCCCGCCAAAACGACTCGTCGCTTCATCAAGACCAATTTCCAACAACAATGAACCAAACCTTCTCTGCTGTCGTCAGGACTGGACCATCGCATTGGCA